CATAGATTTCTATAATATAGAATATTAGCCTTTGATTACATTTGAGTGAAAATGATCTCACTCTTCTCAATAAAACTCAAGAAACTTACACTTTAATAAAATAAAAGTAAACCTTCAGTTAGTTCTAAGACTTTGTTATCGCATTCACCAGAAAGTGGTGCCTCAGGGACTGGCACTATAAGATGCAAGCTGGCATGCTTGAATTTTTTCTTCTCTTTGTTCACCTATGGGAGTCACAGTATTATTACTTTTCCTTGGAAGTGTTTAAAGGTTGTAAGTATTATGAGCTTAGGTTGTCTGTAGTCTCTTCTAAAACTACTGTTGTGCCAAATTTGCACACACTCATGTTTGACTGATTCCAGAGTTATTACTACAGAGAGCAGTAAAACCTTGCTGATGCTATAGGAAATATCAATTCTCTGTGTGTGTGTGTGTATATATATTTATTTATTTATTTATTTATTTTTATACTAGCATTGATTTTATTGCATTTGGAGTTGGCAGATTGGTAGCGCTGAACTAGAGTCCAACAGGGAACAAATTGCAATGTCAGCTGCTGGCTTGATTCACATTTCACCTCTCTTGCTTGGTTCTTAGGTTCATCAGCATTCTTGGTGCTTCATCATAAGTCTTTTAAGTATTCAGAGTACACAATTCATAAAACAGGCTTGAAAGTACTCCACTGGAGTTGCTAGATTACAGTAGTAGATGCCAGTGCTTTTGAAGACAAAATGTTTTGAAGTGAATGGTATGTACACACACATGCATACACATCCCATCCTATCTGAGCAATCAAAGCTTCCAGAATTTCAGAGTTCATTAGGAGTCTAGAATTGGAACTAAACATGTAAATCTCATGGTTTTATCCAACTGCTTTGAAACCATTAACATATTTATCCTCAGCCTGTGAGTTTGGACTCCTGCAAGTGCCTGGACAGCAGAATTTAGACTGTAGACAAAGCCTACGTTGCATGTTGCAGTAATGTAGAGGGGAGCAACACCAAATTGACTTACCTGCCTGTGTAATTACTGTAGAAAGAGGTATGCTGGCTTCAGAAACAGGAGAGATACAAGGCTGAAGGACCTCCAAACCAAGAGCTATTTCTGAAGAGCTGCTGACTGGGGCTCAGAGTGTCACGTAGTTTGTCGATAGATTAATCAGAGGCTCTGTGCTGCATTGTCCCAGGGAGCAGCAGTGGTAATAAGGTGGTTGTAGCATTATTCATAATATAAATTTGATTTTGCAGTTCAAAATAATTTTCAGAGAAACAGAACAGTGTTTAAGCCACTCCTTGAAATGCTTCCCTCTTCTTCTGAAATGCTTCCCTCTTCTTCTGAAATGCTTCCCTCTTCTCCTTTGGTCTTTGTTGGAAGTAATATTGAAGACTCTCCCACCTCCTACATGTCTCCACTTTGTTATTGTGGCCTTACCAGTTTAAAATAGATAAAGGCAGAATAGGAAAAGGAATTGATTTCACTGCTATGTTCTCTCACAACCAGGTGAGGCTGAGAAAAAGAAAACAGGCTGAGAACCATGAACAGCACAGTGGGCTTCTCCAATCCCAGTGTACAGAGCTGATTTTTACCGGGGAGCTCTAAAATTATCATCTTTGCTTGTGGGAAAACATAACTTCCTAGGAATATGAGTCTGTACTATTTTGGGTCGCTGGCAGGGATGGTAACATTCAGTAGTAATGTTGATTTATTGCAGTACTTAATGATGAACAGACTTTCCATTGTGCCCATCATCAGGGTGCTGAAGAGGGAATGTCTCATTCAGCATTTGTCTGAGGCTGTTTCTGATTGGAAAAATGACTTTTAAGATTATTTTGAATGAAAAAGTGATAAAGGAAAAATTCTACTACTGCACTATGCCACTGAGGCTGGCAAAGTGAAAGCAGTAATTTAGTAGGCTTCAGTTTTATCAGTTTCTTTCCTTTCTGCACTACCATATAGCTCCAAAAAGAGGAAAAACAAAAACTAGTTTTTTCTAGCGGGTTACAGGCCCGTTAGATTAAACATAACAAGGCTGAGGGCTGACATCACGTTATCTCGCCAGGTTACTGCGTGTCAGCTGATCTGCAATAACTGAATGTGCACATGGTCTTAACCAAAGATACATGGAAATAGCGTGACAAAGACAAATGAAAACTAATGTTATCTTTCAATGAAGGAGGAGTGCAGTGAGTCAAACTGCTGCATGATTATGCAAGGGCTTAGAAAACCCACTGTCTACATACAGAGGTGCTTATCCAAGCTCAGCTGATACCTGGTGACTTGCTGCTCTGTGGTAGTGGCATCATCTGCTTGGGCCCATGTACTGTCAAGACTTGCATCATATTTTGTTTTGTGGTTCAAAAGGGCTGTACACAATGAGGTGGTAATTCATGTCATGTCTAACATTATGTCCAGAAGTAAAACTTAAATACAAAAGTAATAATCGGGAACTCTTCAATTTGAAACACAGATTTGCTTCCTTGTTTTATGGGGGGGGGCGTTACACAGTTGGCCACAGGTGCTGAAGAAATGTGGAAACAATGAAGCATATCCTTTAAAAATGGAGGTTTTCATGGCCTCAGCTACACAAATATGCTAGAAATAAAGCCAACGAAATCATTATAGTAAGTTATCATCTATTAAGGTGACATTTGCTATTGCAGCTACATGCTTGGTATCTGTACACAGTAATTCTGTACAAATGTAGGGAAGTCAGGGAAACTTGCTTTTTTTCACCCACAAGTATATATCTATAAAGGAAGGCTAAAGGTCTGCCTTCAAATCTGTAAAGCATTCATTTCATTTGTCAATTTGTGGCCATTTGCAAATGGTAACATGGTAACCATTGCAGCACCACATACTCTAATTTTGGAAATGCTGCTGATATATTTGCCTTATATGACACTTCTTTTTACCTGCACCTGGTCTATTCATTTTAAAAGTGTTTTTTTCCTTATGTTTTTTTTTAATTTTATTTTATAATCTAAAATAATATATGTATAAACATATATATAGCAAATAGGAAAGCAAGTACATAAAGTGTAGGTTCTGAATAGTGTAATTATGGATCACTGTAAAATTAGTCAGCTTTTTTAATCCTCAAAGCCTTTGATTTCTTGAAAGTACTGTGAAAAGGTGTATATGCCATTATCATTACATGCTGGTTTTCTGCATTTCATAAATTAGTAAAAGAGGAGATTGTTTTAAATCCAGGACAATTTTATATTTCTTTGTATATGTTTCTGTGTAAAGAGAGTAAGCATATGAATGAAATATGTGAAACAAATAAGCTACTGCATCCATGGGAGAAAATGGGTGAAATTTATTCTAAGTTATAGTTGACACATTTAAAATAAGGAAGAGCTACAGTTACTTTCCCAAGAAAACTGGGAAATTGCCATGCAACTCATATGAGAGGCAAAAGATGACCATGTATTGGATGAAGTGGGTCCCCTACTGACACCCTATAAGCATGGAAAAGTAGGACCAGCCAGTAGAGAGATTTTAAAACAATCCACAAGGAAGCAATGGGAATGTTTAGAACATGGTTTAATCAATTGAGCAAATCTCATCAGGGAATGGTCACTTTATTGATTTTAAACAATCTCATAGCTGAAGAGGTGAAAGCGCAATGCCAAAATGTTGAGGAACTCCAAAGGTGTTCAGCAACTGCTCAACTGTGCAACTGCATTATACAAGCACTATTGGAAAACAAAGTCAGGTATTTAAAAAGAAAATAACATATGGTGGAATAACTCTTGAATTCTTTGCTTGAGGGACTTCCAGAGATGAACTGCAGAATACACTTTCTACAGGGAGTTGTGCTAGGGTAGTAAGAGGAAGAGGGAACAGACATAAGAGCTATGCTGGAGAGGTGAACATTTAATTGTGTTTCATCTGGTAGTGTAAAAACCTTTAAGAAAGATGTACCACTACCAAGGACATGAAATTTCAGATAGAATTACCACTTATTATGCACAAGTCCCTAATCTCATACTGTGCAGTGGTTTTCTTTTTTTCTCCTCAGTGTAATAAATACCTTTATTGAGGAATAGACTTGATTTTATAGGAGAAAAAAATATCACAAAGCCTTTAAGTTAAATTTTAATAGACATCAAAGATTTTATTAAAATGTAAATGTCTCATTAGAGTGAACGCTTTAATAATTAAAAATCAATAAAAATGAAAACATGCCAATATCACAATCATCTGGAAAATCTATAGCCTTGGTCTCAGGTATGACTGTGTGTGGGAAGTCCCCTTAGCCCTGTGTGCACTCAGGCACAGGAGTTTATAGGCAAATCCAGCAAAACAATAAGCCTCTGCCCTTAGTGGGAACAATACACCATCCCTGTGTAAGCAAATACCTCTCACTGCTCTCTGGCTTTGAACAGAAAAGTCCTTTTTAGTCAGTCAGTCTGTTCTTGACTTAGTGATTCACAATTACTAAAATGTGATGCCAAAAATCTTTCCATTAGAAAAAAGTTTCCTCCTTTGTTACCATTTGTGAAGAATTGGAGTATGAATGAGGTTGTTTGGAAAAAGGAGAAGCAGGGCTGGGCCCTGGCTTTTATAGCCAGAAAATTCTTGTATCTCTTCCAAGTGACACCGCAAGGCTTTCTGTTTTGAAAATCTAAAAGGAAAAACTGTGTTTTATCCTCTTGGAGCTGAGGGAGAGGACAAAGAAGGAAACCTTGAGCTTTCCTCCTCCTTCCCCCCCTCCTCATCTTGGCCTGAATCTCTTGGAAAAGAAGAGAGCTCAATTTGGTGAAATAACTCCTTTGGAATATCAATTATCCATCAAAAAGACGTCACAGACCTACTAAGCTGTCAGAAGGCTTGTCACTGCCGCATGCAAGTCTTCAGAAGTTACATCTGAGGAGGGAAGATGTTGTTAGAAATCTTTCCCTGTATGACACACTGTCTCAATTTCTTGCTAAAACAAGTCTTAATTAGTTCTTCTCTTTCTTCTTCCTTTTTTTTTTTTTTTCTTTAATATGCAGCACCAAGGAAAAATTGGAGTTAAATTTAATGTTGGAACTGATGACATCGCTATTGAAGAGATGAACGCAATTATTAATGATGGGAAATACCACGTAGTTCGCTTCACAAGAAGTGGTGGCAATGCCACGTTACAGGTGGACAACTGGCCCGTTATCGAACGTTACCCAGCAGGTAAGGGCTTACACAAACACTCCTCATGAAGGGGGTGGGGGACGCCTGGAGTTTGGCTCATTTTGCTTCTCTTCTGATGTAACATCAGCTTCTTTGCAGTGTTTCAGGAGCTAATTAAGTAGTTAAAAGAGTCCTGAGCAATGTACAGTTTATGATGATGGCATTTCCTGAGCGAGTTTAAAAGCACAAATTCAAGTTATTAGTGGAAGTGGAAAAATAGAGTTATCAAGGCATGAAATAGTGGTTTTGTTTCTTGTTTTCATTTGTTTTCATTGAATTATTGTTTGAGGGGGGAAAAAAAGGCTTTGACAAAAGCTACGAAGTAAAGTGACTCCCAAATCTATCCCCAAGTGATGGAGTAAAACATTTACTGAGGAAAAGGTTGTCTGTGTTCTTTTGATGACAAGTTGTTATTAAAGCAATATGAAGCTTATAAATTTAGCAGAAGTGTTCCAGCAGGCATGAACCAAAGGGTGTAGCAGTTATCAATTGTACAATCAACCAACCAAATCGAGATGCCTTAACTTAAAATGCAAACTACAGGATATTACTTATGCAAATGATGCTGGTCACTTAAATGAGGGCAACTCATATGAAGACAGAGTTGCCTTGATCAGGCCTGTATTTCATTTTATGCAAATACCATGCAATGAAGACTATTGTGTTACTAATATTATTCATTTTTAAAGACAACAGGTTTTTCAGACACGCAGTCCCTTTCTTATTGAGTAGGACTACTGATTAATGGTAACTTATAAATCTGCATGTTATCTCTTTAACAGTTGCTCTGTGTGTTTATATTATTAAACAAAAGGCAGCAAATCCAGAGATGTAAGCAAAAGCAAATATGAAACCAGAATGCCTATTACATAAATAACAGTTCTGATTTATCTGTTTAAAAGTAGAAAATTCTTCATTTTTGGGTGTGGAATGGGACAGGAAGATGTGTTTCACTAGTAAGAAACACATAAACCATTTCCTTTAGTAATTATTAGTGGTTAGGGTGAAGTTTTCTGTTATTGTTGCCATTTTGAATTGCAGTCCAGCTATTCACTTGATTTTTTAAAAAAACAGAAGTAATTTTTTCAAAATCCACAGGTGAAATATAACCCTTCAGATCATTTATTGGAAGTAATTTAGAATTCAAAGTAAAAATGAAAGTATATATTGCTAAAAACAATTATGTGTAGCAGGAGCTGTTAGAAAAAAACACCTATGTGCTAATGTGCTATGAATGAATGATGTCCCTGGAAGTTAGTGCCATTCATTGTTTCTAAGTTAGACACATCTCTGAGAGGTGATAAATTCTTGAGGGAAAGGGGGACAGTGAATGAAATATGTCCTGTGATCTTTCAGATATTCTTATTTCCCCCATATACCCCTTGTTTTCTAATTTCGCAGTGTTTGGTAAAGGGTTGCTGAAATGACGAGGTGGAAGCTGGGGAGGACTGTGTCTTACTTTGTGTTCGAAACCTATGCAGCACAAAGGAAAAAATAAGTTTGGGGTGTTCTTTTGCCTCTTTTGTTTTTTACCTAAATGATGAGCATGAATTTACCTCTTCCAAGCTCAGGAGTGAGGCATGCCAACAAAGAGGAAGTCAGACAAACACACCAGGAGGCCCGTGTGGTTGAACAAGGAGCTCCTGGACAGGCTGAAACACAAAAAGAAGCCTACAGTGTGTGGAAGCAGGGGCAGGTAGCCTGGGAGAAATACAGAAAAATTATATGAGCAACCAGGGATTGGGTTAGGAAAGCCAAAGCCTTGATGGAGTTAAATCTGTCTGGGGATGTCAGTAGGCAACAAGGAAACCTTCTGCAGGTATGTCAGTTATAAAAACAAGATTAGGGAGAATGTTGGAATCTCTGGAGACCTGGTTACCAGGACATGTAGAAGGCTGAGGGGCTCCAACCACACTGCCCAAGTCACAGAAGTGAGACCACACCTGGAGTGCTGTGTCCAGTTCTGGGCCCCTCAGTTTAGGAAGGATATTGAGGTGCTGCAGCAGATCCAGACAAGAGCAACAAGGTTGTTGAAGGGACTCGAGCACAGGTCCTGTGAGGAGAGGCTGAGGGAGCTGGGGTTGTTCAACCTGGAGAAGAGGAGGCTCAGGGGAGACCTCATCACTCTCTACAACTCCGTGAAAGGAGGTTGTAGCCAGGTGGGGGTCAGTCTCTTCTCCCAGGCAACCAGCAGTAGGACAAGAGGGTATTGTTTTAAGTTCTGCCAGGGGAGGTTTAGGTTGGATATTAGGAAGAAATTCTTTACAGAGAGGGTAATCAGGCATTGTAATGGGCTGCCCAGGGAGGTGGTGGATTCACCATCCCTGGAGGTTTTTAAGACGAAACTGGATGTGGCACTTAGTGCCATGGTCTAGTAACCACAACAGTGTTGGGTCAGGGTTGGACTCAATGATCTCAGAGGTCTTTTCCAAACTGGTTGATTCTGTGATTCTATGACATTAAGGATTGAGAGAGTGAAGGTTTGAGACTATTTAAGACACGTGAAGCTGCACAAGTCCATGGGACCTGACAAGATACATCCAGTCCTGAGGGAACTGGCCAAGGAAGTGGCCAAACAACTATCCATCATATTTGAAAGGTTGTGGCAGTCTGATGAAGTTCCCACTGACTAGAAGGGGGGGGAAATAATCCCCATTTTGAAACAGGAAAATAAGGAAGAACCAGGAAACTACATGCTAGTCAGTGTCACCTCAGTGCCTGGCAAGGTCATGGAGCAGATCCTCCTGGAAACCACGCTAAGGTACATGGAAACTAAGGAAGTGATTGGTGACAGCCAGCATAGGTTCAGTAAGGGCAAATCTTGTGCTTGACGAGTTTGGTGGCCTCCTACAACAGGGTTATGGCAGTGGTGGGTGAGGAAAGACCAATTGGTGTCATCTGCCTGAACTCGTGCAAGGCATTTTGCACTGTCCATCACGACATCCTTGTCTTTAAATTGGAGAGACATGGATTTGACAGATGGACCACTTGATGGATAAGTGATTGGCTGGATGGTGCACACAGTTGCAGTCAGTGGCTCAATGTCTGAGAGGAGACCAGTGACAAGAGTGGCATTCCTCAGGGGTCAGTATTAATCTTTGTTTTAATCTTTGTTGATGACAAGGACAATGGGATCAAGGGTACCCTCAGCAAGTTTGTCATGAGTGGTGCAGTCAGCATGCTGGAGTTGCCTTCCAGAGGAACCTTGACGGGCTTGATAGGTGGGTCTGCACAAATGTCATGAAGGTCAACAAGACCAAGTGTAAAGTCCTTCATCTGGGTTGGGACAATCCCAAGAACAAGTACAGGTTGGGTGGAGAATGGGTTGAGAACAGCCCTGCCAGAAAGGATGGTAGTGGATGAGAAGCTCAGCATGACATGGCAACGTGCACTTGGAGCCCAGGCAAATGGTGCCCTGGGCTGCATCAAAAGAGATGTGACCAGCAGGTTGAGGGAGGTGATTCTGCTCCTCTACTCCACTCTGGTGAGACCCCACCTGGAGCGCTGCATCAAGCTCTGGAGCCCCCAACATAAGAAAGACGTGAACCTGTTGGAGCAAGTCCAGAGGGACTTGCTCAGGGGGCAGGAACATCTCTCCTGTAAAGACAGGCTGAGGGAGCTGGGACTGTTCAACCTGGAGAAGAGAAGGTTCTGAGGAGACCTTACAGTAGCTTGCAGTACCTGATGAGGGCTACAAGAAAGCTGGAGAGGGACTTGTTACAAGGGCATGCAGTTATAGGACAAGGGGGAATGACCTTAAGCTGGTGGGTAGATTTAGATTAGATATTAGGAAGAAATTCTTTGCTGGTGAGTCATTGGCATAAATTGCCCATAGCAGTTGTGGATGCCCTATCACTGGAAGTGTTCAAGGCCAGGTTGGATGGGGCTTTGAGCAAACTGGTCTAGTGGAAGTGTCCCTGCCCATGGCAGGGGGGTTGGAAATGAATGATTTTTGAGGTCCCTTCCAACACAAACCATTCTATGAGCATAAAAATACTTTTTTTCTCTGTTCCATTTCTTCATGAAAATACAAAGTGCCTGCAACAAGGACAAAGTGCAGCTGAGTTCTGAAGATAGGGGCACACAAAATTTGTTTATACTGAACATAAATCAATTTAGAAAATAGAGTGATTTTCTAGGGATGGGATTATTGGAATTGAAGAGGGTTGGATGTTTTCTTTTAAAAAGGAAAACAACAAATTAGAGCTTTTTGAGCTACCATGAGCAATCCATGCGCAAGCTGAATTTCAAGGCATTTTCAGTTGCTTCATTAGCTGAGGTACAGAATCCCTTGGCTTGCTTTGCTGCTGGATCTTCCAAGACTGCTATTAGCCTATAATTTTCTTTGCCTTTCCCATAGCGATATTTCATGGTTCCTGTATGCCATAACATCATTTTTGATTCCTGTCCTCCTCCTTTTCACCTTCCATTTCTTCTCCCTTCCCAGCACGAGCACATCTAGCTGTATCTTTCTCTTCTGTTCCCATGCTGCTCCATCAGGTTTGACAGCCTTCATTTAAACCCTTTTTAAACACTAGTTTCTTCACAGACTGGTATTGATGTACATTTTAGAAAAGACATGGGCTTGTCCTGAAGACTATGCTGCCTGTGAGCGAGCGTGATAATGAAGCAAGAATTGAAACTGAAGATAGTAATGACTTATGTTCAAATCGACTACTTTCATTTGAGTTCTAAAAGTAGTATTTCTAAAAGTGACATTTTAAAGATACCAGACAACACAGTGTGACAAATGCTGCTGCATCCAGTTTAGATGTGCTTCTGCTGTGTCTGTTTTAGGGACAGACAGTAGTACTTGGCACTACTGGTTAACCAGCTAACTTGAGATTGGCTTGCCTTTTGGATGGAGACGTGTTGCAGTTGTATGGTATCAACAGAATTTGATCCTGTTTGCATGAGTGAGGGCTCATTAGCTTTCATTCCCATGCTAGAAAGAATGTTCTTTTCTACTTTGTAGCTGTTTTTTTTAATTTTTTCTTTCT